CTTCATGGGATGAAAATTTTCGTGGATTAGTAAAAGAAGGGTGTTTAGAAACTTTAGGTGCTTATTAATATTTTAGAAGTGACTAATATTGTTATTTATCTATTCTCCAGTTAATCACATTCTGTCAATAAATTAATAAACTGCTTCAAACCTGAGTTGAGAAGGATTTTCCCTTTAACCATAAATAGTGGATAAGTATACCAAAGTGAGGCACGGACTCAGTTTAACAACCAGGTCAAATCACACTGATGCTTCTGAGTATTCAGTTTGTGGTCCATTCTAAGGAAAAAGTGTGTTCAACCTGAGCAAATGTTAACACTGAGAGATAATTGCAGGTCAGAGGTTTTGCCACCACACACCCAAAACTTGTCCTTTTCACCTTTGATTGGAGGTTGCAAATGTGACCTCAACAAAGCACCCACTGCTTTTGTATATGGCCATTTCTTTGAGTCATTAGCCTTTAATATTTGGGTCTCTCACATCTTTCTTGACCTGCTGGCCACACTCTTCTTATGTACCTCAGGATGCCATTGCTCTACTGGACACAAGGTCATAATGCCAGCTCATGGTCAACTGGTCATCCCCCAAAATGCAGAGCTTCTCTCTAGAACCTGTGCTGCCACTTCGGTTATTCCTCCCCAGGTGCAGGACCCTGCACCTGCCCTTGTTGAACCTCAGGGTTCTCTTCAGTGTCTGTTCCATTGTAAAATTCTTTTGTTTCCTTACAAATTCAAACATGTGCATCACCTGCTTCTGAGATTTTGCAAAGTACATGACTTCTTAAAAAAAAAAAAATCAGTCATTAAAAAGGACTTTTTTCTTTAAATAAAATGTATTAGAAGTTACAAAAGGAAAACATAATTTTTATTATATTTTAGCTGTAGCCCAGAGACAGATTTTTCTTTTCACAAAGTAGAAAATGTAATTATTCTGAGCACTTTCTCTTTCCTTCTCTTTCCTCTCAACTTTCAACAAGCAATGGAGCAATCATTTAAAAAACATGCAGTCTACAAAGATGAAAAAAAAAAAGACGTTGTGTAAAGCTAAGAGGAAAGTTTAATAAAAACATTGCTTATACCTTTTTCTTTTCTCTTTTTTTCTTTCAAGCCAGAGACACTCATCCAGTAATAGAATCTGGAAACAGAACACAAATCCCATACAAGAGGCAGAAATTGTAGTGATGTTAAAGTCTGATGTTCATGATGCCTCTCAGTTTGTGAATGGCAGTCAAGCAGTAGAAGCTATACAGCCAGAAATATCATACAAGAAACTATTTTTTAGTGAAGGGCTGCTTCAGTGTGTGATACATAAATATAAATATAAATATAAGCACCCTCATTTGCAATAAATATTTAAACATTCTATTTAAAAAAAGGAAAAGAAACACACATTGAGGCCCCATTACCATGATTTGTTTTTAAAGCTAAGATTATGTATCATTAAGCTGGCAAAATGCAACCCTGAGAAAATGTTGCTGGGGCGATTCTGTCCTCTTTTGCTTTGTCTTCTTTTTATGTAGCACTGCTTTTTAACTCTTGACATTTTCTGTCAGCTCTGATTCTTAGCAAATACATACATACTCACATTTGAAAAAAAGGCATATTGCTGCATAAGATGCAAGTGATAGAGGGATGAAATTCTCTGTTGTTCAAATCCCCATAACTTAATTGCTTTCGACAGAATTTCATCACTTTGCCCCTGCTAAAAATCTGGCCTCACAGTCTTAATAAAGTAGAGTCAGAGCAAAAAATTTCTGAGAAAGAATAAAAAAAGAGTTGTAATGAAGTTCCCCATGTTTGCAGCCTCACCAGTAGTTACCCTAACCTTAAATGAAAAGGAACTTAATTCTCTCATTTATTGTAAGCTGCAAGTCAGGGAGGAGGGAGGGGAAGAGAAGCAAGGGTTGTGCTTTCTGTATCTCTAGGAAGGGTAGTTCGGTGTACAGGCAGACGCTGTTCTTTTCACACTCTTGGACTCAGCTCTGCTTTGTGCTGCAGAACTGTAGTGTAGTGAGTAACTTTGTGGATCAAACCTAAAATTTAGCCAAAATTTACCTCTAATCTTAGTGACCTACTCCCTCTTCTGTCCTTCTAGCCCCATTCTCTGGCACCCAGCTTCCATGTGCAGCAGCTGGGCAGAGGCAGGACTCGCACCCGAAGCTGCCAAGACAACAGAGCAGCAAACCTGTTCTGCTCTTCCCTGGCCTCCAGAGTGGTGCTACTCTGCACTGTGATCAGAGCATTCAACCCTTCCTAAGACAGATTTTCTTTTTCCTCATTCTTTTCTTAAAATACAGGTAGCAGAAGAAAAATACAACCCCAGGTCGGATGACACAGTCACATGGAGGAAACGTTTAGTGCATTTCTTTTTATGTCCTGAAACTGGAAGACTTGATTTCATTCTGTTTGTATTTGTATTTGTAATTTTTCTTACCAGTAGATCCAGATATCTGTTTTTGAAGATGCAACAGGGAAAGAAATCAGAGCTCATGTCCAATAGTTCTTCAGATAAGGATGTGCTAAAGTGCAGAAAGAAAACCTAGTGAGTCACCAGTCTAGAAAAAAGAAATAGTGTGAAGAAATAATTGAAGGGCATCAGGATCACAGGATGGGATCTTATTTTTATCCACTGAGTGTCTAAAGACAGTCATGTAAAATTTGTGCCTCCTATAGATATTACAATGTGGTTTTGACCATTTTGTGAAGCTATCTGCCCTGTTAGCTAAATTCCAAACATCTTTGCACACAACTTTTAAATGAGCCTAAATCAGTTTAAGTGAAAAGCCTGAAAAGCTTTTGATCAGTTCAGTATATGAGTTGCAAAGATGACATTAGGCTCCTTCCTTCAAAGCCTTAATTTGATTTGTTACAGGTACCACAGAGAAATCAGCAATTAAAACCAAAGCTGATACCTTCAATATGAGAGGGGAGAAAACCTAAATACCGTCTGAACTGCACAGTTTTCTTGAAAAATGAAAAATAAGACACTGCAGGTTTGCTTTCTTTGCTCTTTGAAGTTGTGTGTCTTCTTAAAAAAATTAGAAAACCTCCCCTTATCCTCTGAACAAAATTGAGTACTGGCCTCAAATCCACTTTATTTTCCTGAGAACAGATATGATTATATGGACAAATCCAGTTGTGAACTTAATAAGCTTTGGCAGAAAAGGGACTGAAGGAAGGTGAGTAACAGAACAAGCCAAGAAAAATACCCAAATTAACCTTCAGCCCTTTCAGTGACATCTAAAGATGCTAAAGGAAGGTTTGTGAGTTAATTTCTCAAGGATGTAGATCTCTATTAGCGTAAGCAGCAAGTGGGAAATTACAAAGTAATATAAAATATACTGTGAAGTGAACATTTTAGAGCATATTTCTCTTTTTTGACCTCTCTTTAAACCCTAGTTTGTAGTTCAGCTATATTGTTATCTACTCGGAGAAGCGTATGTTCTGTGGAGCCCACAGGAGCAAAGTGGGAATCAGCTTGTCCATTCCCAAAAGTCATTTTAAGGGGATGTTACTGTGGAAAAAATTGGCCTAAACACATTAACACCCCCATTCGTGGAATATTGAGGGACAAAGTCCAAAAGAAGTGTAACGTAGAAAACAGGAGAGAAACATGACATCAAGAAAAATGCAGTCTTTTCTGTGCTTCTCAGAGAGTACTTAATGGCCAGAAATTACTCTTTGGGCCACTGCTGTTCTAAAATAATGAATGTTCTCACTTATAGGATAATTTCATCTATTGTTTCTGATTGGATTGTAATTCAAAGAGAGATTACTTAAGGTACCTCATTATTTGGTGATGCTGTCTATCTCCAATTAGCCATGCTCATCTTTGGAAATAGAGACTACCATTTACCAGCAGTAGATTGGGGAATATTTGCATTATAATGTTTCTCACATATACTGTATCCAATCATTGTCAAAATAGCCAGGAGGAAAAATATACATTAACTTAGTGAAATAAACTATTAAAAAATTGTGTACTCTGTCTGCTTGCCAACTGCTTTATACCCACTGGTACTTGTTTTGAATGCTATAAACAAAATAATATCAGTGCGGAGCAGATAGAAGGATGGAGAAGGCAGAAATCAGTGTCATCAGAGCTTAGAGTAGGTTTTTCTTTCATGACAATTATGAGTTGGAGAATCACACTTTATCTGAGTAGGTTTGGGGCAAAGGGTTAGGGAAAGATCCAGCCATGATGGAAAGCGTTCAGTATGTTCACCTGGAGATAATACATAGCAGCAAACCTAGTGAGAGAACTAAAAGACAAAAAACAGGTGGGGAAAAAAACAACCCTTAAGCAGGTTGCAAAGCCTTTGATTGCCATTGCCTGAGGTGCCTGTGCAGGGTGGGCTCTGCCCAGCAAGGTTATTCTGCCTCTTTCTGGATTCATGAGTTTGCATGGTCACCTCCTGGTGTAAGGACCAAAGGAGCCCTGGCAGCTGGGAGCATCACAAGGGAGCAAGAGGAGGAAATAAACAATTCTTGCGATTTGTCATTAGTCTGAGCTTGTAGGGACTGAGGGCATCACCTCTCCAGCCTTTCAGTCAGCAGAGGCTGACACCAGATCTGTCAGACCTGCCGTGGCAACGGTGCCATCTGACAGCTCTGGACCACTGGGACACACTGTGCAGTAGAGGTGAGATCATAGAGAAATAAGTAGGTTTTAGGCTTTGTTTTCTTTCACAGATATGTGCCAGGCTTCCAGGTCCCAGACTATTGCAATAATAGGCAGGAACTTTGTGAGGATGGTGTGGTGAAGGTGCAATTGTCCTTTTCCTACAGTTAATCCACCTGTATCAGCACTGTCTTCCATCCTCTTCCAACGAGCATCTGCAGTGTCAGCAGGTGCCTCTATGGTAATGGGTTCAATTTCCAGTGGCTGTGCCTTTGAACTGCTTGCTTTCTTCTGTGTTAAGGTGATTATTGTTGCCATAGCTACCACAGACTGCTATGAAACCTTTGAAGAATGTAACCATATGAAGCCAAGGTGCTCCCATCACATGCTCAATATATACAGAGATTCCATAAGTGTTCCCACAGGGTTTCACTAGCCAGGTTCTTTCCCCAGGGAAGCATAACCCTGGCAAATAAGGGATATATGAGCATGAAGAGAGCTGAGTGTGTGTTTTTCCAAAGATCATTGGAGTTTCCCCTGCTTCCTTCCTCACAATGTGTGCCAAGGACACATCAGAAATGTGCATCAGCTGGGTGGTTGACCTGGATTTCCCAAGCACTTAAGTGATGTTCTCTGCTTTTACTAAGCAATTTGCTTGTGCTGCAATCAGTGCTGAACTTAGGGCCATTTTTCTCTGGTTTCTGTTGCAGCTTTGCACCACTCTTCATTGAGGCCTCTTGGGCAACTGTGACAACAGAACCTACTTGGAGCACTTGATTTGTCAGTGGGTTGAACATTTTGTTCTAATGCCATTCCTGTGATGTGTGACATGGGGTCACAACAAAGAAACAGGGGAGGTTGTAAGTAAATAATCAGTCCATCTTTGTCCCTGAATGAAACAAATAACTTTCAACAAACTGAGTAAAAAACAATCCCTCATGTTATCATCTCTGTCTCTATCGCTCATTTGATCCAAATCAACACCTCTACAGGGGTTCTACCATATGCTTACAAATGTGCTGGAATTTTGTATTAAAAGCTATCATTCTCTATTGACAAAACTATGTAGTAACATAACAAGAAGCTCATGAATTTGTGAAGCTCAGAAATTTCACAGTGTAAGACACTACTGCATCAATATTTATAAGTACTCAAACCACTCTTGCCAGTATGCTTCCACTCTTGCTTCAACCACCTTTTCCCTGGAGCAAGGCATCTCTTCCTTGCTCAATTTCACAAGCTGTAAATAATGGGAATTACATTCCTTCCCCATTGCAGTAAAGGTCTTAAAGAGCTACAAAAGAAAAATTTATATTAATGGAGGCTGTTACTACCATATGAAAATATTAAAATAAATTGCTCCTTATTTATGTGGGTTCCATTTCTTGTCAAAACCCCAAATTTTTGCATCCCACATAATATTGGAAATTATATCTTTTATATTATATATTTTCCACTGCAGAAGCCATAAACCCTAATTGATTCCTGGCTCCAGTGAATAATATCAGGTTGGGTCAGTGTAGGAAACAATAAGAGTGTAGTGTAGCTGAGATCAATACAGCTTGCTTCTGAGCTCCACCACCAATCTCTCTGCTACATACACTGATAAATAGACAGCGCTGCCCCTCAGCTACACACCATTAGCTATGCTTTTCCTCAAAGTGTCAGAAAGTAAGTGGTATACCTAGCATTAGATCAAAAACAACAAGAAGGTTTTGTCATTCTGCTGGGGACACTTGGCTGGCATCTGCAGTAGTTGTAAATGCTATTAGTAGCTAATTTATCTTGATTATTATTCTTCACACAAGTCAGCATGGCTTTGCAAGTATTTGTAAAAGCAGCAACAAGATAAATTTTAAATTTCAAATGTTCCACTCTCAAAAAATAAAACAGCTTGAAAAGAAATTAGATTTACTGCAAAAAAAATAAGTATACTAAAGTAACAACACTGAAGTTAAAGTATTATAGTATGACATCAAAATCCTGAACTGTGCTTTCAAAAACATAGTAAAGTATATTTTCAGATGTTAATCTTTTAAAACTACATTGGCATTTTTCCTACAAAAAAAAAGTGGGGGTGAAATAACCAAGTTACAGATACTGCGTTCTTTTTTTAGATTTCTAAAATCTTCTCAAGGCATCTAAGGCATAGTCATTAGCTTCACAATAAGATAACTGAAAAGAAATTCAGTTCACCTTCATAAAATAAGAAAAAGAGTTCAAAGATCAGAAATGTAATGGCAAGTCCTTCAAAGGACGCATATATAAGGCTGTATATACCAATAGCTTACTAGAGACTCGGCTTCCCCTCCTTTTCCCATTCTCTCTTTGATCTCAAGCTAAACATCAGAACCCAGCTTTTAAAAAGACTTCAAGTGCCTTTCATATTCTCTCAGCTGCCTGAGGAGCAACAACTCCTGCATCTTACATGAAAGAATTTATTTCTCCCTAAAAATAACTTTAGTTTCAAATGCCCCCTGCAAAGAGGTTGAAATAATTTATCCTTGACTCTGTGAAGACAAAAGAAGAAAATTGCATGGGTAAGCCTTTACCTACAGCAGGGAAAAAGGCAGATAAGTCATTACAGATCTGGCTGGAGCAGTAATGGAATATTTCCTGCTTGTCACTTCTGTAAGAAGGAAGCACAGTTCAGATGTGGCAACCTTTGGGCCCCTCGCACACAGATCATTAACATTAGCCATGCTGGCTGAGTTGTTATTAGGTATAATCTAGAAATTCTTACCCTTCAGGTGTTTTCTGGGTTTCCCCCTCCCTTACTTCCTATAAATGTTGAGAGCTCTGGGACTTTTTGCTCATTTAAACTATTAATTATCTTTGCTTCTCAGCTAACATTGCTCTGGATCAGGTACATAGCAAAAATTTTGCTTTCAATATTAATTTAACAGGCAAGGTCTAGAGGTTCCACTGCTCACAGACAAACTTCTCTTTGCTCATTCTTTTTTGTGTCATGTCACTAGTCAGGATAGGGAACACCTACAGTGATGAACAAACCTCCAAGCCCAAATTCAGATCAATTACCCTGTCAAGGTTTGTGACCTCATGTGCAATAGATCTACTTTTTGGATTTCAGGACTGTTAGATGCATTGACATGTGGCCTGGTAGACCAAGAAAATACCATCTCTCCCATTACTTATATATTCCATTATATCAGAATGTCTGATGACAACCACATAAAAAGTACCGGCATTCCAGACTTTACAGAGCTTTCAATTGCAGTTTCAGAGCTTTTGGTATATTTTACCTCAAAAGGCCTCTTCATTTAGAAAACAATAGGCTTTTGTGCAGAGGCCTGAATGTCTTGATGCTGTGAAATTTCTTGCTAAAAAGAAAGCAATAAGACAAAACTCATAAACAGTTACATTATGCAATTTTTAAGTATTTAAAACTGAGAGAGATCCAGATTTTGTCATGATTGATGCTGCAAATATGAGGATATGCAAAATGTTTTGACATTTCTAGCTTAAGCTCCATTACATATCCTGTGTGCTTTCTCTCAGAGGTGCATTTTGGCATGAAAGGTTCTCTTCCCAGCCAGGAGCCAGATGGACCACTCCATGAGCCTTCACACTGTAAATAAAGTTTGGCCCTGAAAACACTAATGATTTGTAATAGGGACGCTGTTGCAGGAACAGATAATATTTTTTAAAAAAAGGTAAACATTAGTTTTAAGCTGTGATTTTATTAAAAGCTTAGGTTGTCCTTTTACTTGCCCATGAAAAATATTTTACATAAGCAGGTAATATGGTTTACATGTGCCACTACCAGACTCTGTGTCTGAGGACTTGCTAAACTCTTGTCTGTTTAGCAGCACAGAGGGCAGGTTTACATGTGAGAAAAAGCTCACTTGGAAACTCACACTAGCTAGGCCTGGCTTGATCTTGGCCTTCTTGTAGCACGAGCATGAAACATCTGCACTGCTAAAGGAAGCACAAGATCCAGCCCAAAGCACGTCCCAGAGCGGAAAGGAAGTGAAACCTTCTAGGCTCTAGATTCTGTGCCAGCTGACCTACCTGGCACAATTTTGAATGTTAGCAGTAGACTATGACTGCTTGTCTAAGACTGAAGAGTAGAACAGGTTGGTACCACAGAGAAGTGGGGATTAGGAGGACCTCAAACAACCTTTGGGTAGCATTATCTTGACTGTGATTCATGTACCTACAGAGATCCAGAAAGAAACAGAAAGAAACAGAAGATTGTAACATTCTTCCCCCCATTGCAAATTTAAGACAGTGACTCCAACCCAATCTTAAAATTCACTTGAGCCTGACAAGAAAGCTGCCACAAGTTTATCTGTAGCATTTAAGATTCTCAGATTTTATTTACTTTCATCTGTAACAGATGTATAGAGAGACAATGCTAAAACTACTACACAATCTAATTCAGCATAAGTAGCTTGCTGTCAAAATGTAGCTTTGATATTCAGAAAAAAAATTCAATATTTTTATCTTTTTCTAGGATTTATGAGAAATTTTTAGACATGCAGGTCCCACATAATGAAAAATATTAATAATAATACCTTTTCTTAAGTATAGGGAGGCAATCTTTAACAACAAGCATTCCAAACTCACACTCATTACCGAAACTTCACTATCTGTCTAGTAATTGTTTTTGCAACATGACCATAAAAGATTACATGCTTTAAAGGTTCCCATGCTTTAAAGATGAGCATTCTACTTTACCAGACAAGAACTCGTTCAAGAAGGTCTTAATTACTTACATGCAATATGTTTAGGATGGATTCCATGTAGCATGGACATATGCACAGTAGCAAATTATCTTGATACTGGTGGCTTTGACAATCACTTTAATAACATCAGAAAACTGTTTACAGTACTCAAATGCTGGGTTTTTTTTCTTTTAATTACTTCAGCTTCCCATTTCTTCTAAAAACAATGGGATGCTTAAAGCATAAATATAGAGGTTTTAATGTGTCTCTCACTGCTTTTCAGAATAAAAATTCTTTCACAGAGTCCTACAGCCAATCTCAGACCTATGAGGAAGCAATTCAATACCACTAAAGCCAACTGCATGACCACATTGGGAGTGAATATGGCCCTTCTAGATGAACACTGGGGATCTTCTGGAAAGATTATTAACTTGTGAAAATTGCCTCCTCATTAAGCAGATAACTGTGACATCAGTAGCTGATTTGCCCAGGTCCTCCACAGAGGAGATCTGTGAGGAAGGACAAGGGGAGGAAATCTCCTCAGCTCAGGCAGCAGGCTGCAGTGAGAACAGTCCTTGCTGTGTTTGATCCTTCCTTTTTTATAAGCCCTCTCTAAGCTATGTTAACCTGGAGCTGAACAGAGAGGCTATGGCCCCTTCAGAGTCCCAGCACTTCAGCCTTTTGGTATTGGTCAGCTGGTGGACTGCAAGCATTCAGGTGAGTCACAGGGATTGCTGGAAGGGCCAAACTATGGTCTACTTAGGAAGAATAGGCAGCCCCTTTCCTACTGGTCCCTGTCTTGTCTCCCTGCAATTCCCATGCCATTATGGTACCAAAACATGTGAGAATTTCAAGTCACTGGTGACAGTATTATGCCAAACTTGAATACCTGAATAATAGATTCTTCCATTAAGAATCCTGTATTCAATATCACTAGGGTGTTTTCTTCATAGCAAGTCCTGGATTTTTAAGAGAGAATTTGCCTGAGTGATTACTTCTGTGTTTGTCATTGGCACCTGAATGAAATAACATCCAATTTTGCAAAGAGGTAGCAGTTTCTTCTGAAACATTTTCTTCTATAGGTAATGATCAGTTGGAACTAAGGACCAGCTTCAAACCAATTTCTGAGGTGTAAAAAGGATGCACAAATCATTGTAGGAGAAGTGGAATGAAAAGCAAACTACTTCTCAGGTATCTAGAGATGCAGCCTAGTGAAGAATTCAAGTGCCAAAGTGACTAAGGCTGCAAACAACCTGTCTCAGGGAAAGTAAGGTCTGTTGGAGTGATGAAAGCAAACCCAGAACATGAAACAATCCTGGAAGTAGACTAAAGAAAGTACTCTGACCTAGCAAACACTCAAAGCAGAACTGTGTTTTTTCTCATTGTAGGCTTGGACAGAACCCAAATTTTTTCTGTCATTTTGAAGTGAGATGGGGAAAAATGCATGGCAGCAAAAAACAAAGTCTCTTCCCTATTCAGATTTGAAGTTAATTTGGAGAAAAAGTACTTTCAGCTGACAAAACCATTGTATCTGTCTGGCAGATAAAACTGCTACCTTTCCTGATAGTTGAACATTTCTAAGTGGAACAAACATTCTCTTTTGAGGACTGGAAGTTTACAAATACCAGTGGTATATATACTAATCTTGTTTCCAGGCTGCTTGGGAGCTGTAAGAGTTCCAGATACTAGTAGTACTTGTGGTGTGACAACTTTGCTCTCAAACACTCAAACATGCCCAAATATCCATGAAGACATGGTTGGTACTGGAAGTAGTGATGTAAACATGAACAGAAGTCTCTGGGGTTTATTTGTTTTTGCACATATCAAGTAACTCATAATATTTGGTATTTAGTTTCCCTTCTTGCCATCCCTTTCTTTGAAAGACTGCAAGGAATTTAACATTTCATCAACACACTCAACAGTTTTAAAACCACAACTTGATCTATATCCTGAATACATTGCATGTTACTGTAATGGTCTTAGCAAATGAGAGCTTTCCTCATGGCAAGAAAATTTTGGGAGCTCCTTTGCATACTGCATATTGATCATCTGTCTCTCATTTCTCTGATAACCAATAATAGTGACTAAAAGTGAGAGAGGTGGTAACAGCCTCTTTGGGAGTTACTGTGGTATAGTTTTAGGTATTTTTTTTCTCTCCAGAAGCCTGTCTTGAGGACTTTGATAATGTTCTGCTTTCTCCTTCTCTTTTAATCTGCCAAGAGAATTAATAGATGGAGTAAATACCTAGGTGTTAGATTACTTTCTTGGATTCTTAAATGGGGAGGAATCCCTTACCAAAAAATTTCACACTACTAGCTGAATTTTGATAAATCTTTCCCTGCTCCCAAAAAAATAACAGCTTTTTCCATCTGAAAAAGTTTAAAAATTTTGACCTGCCCTAGCAGTGAAAGATCATGATTTCTGGCATAATTTATCTAGTATCCACCACCTTTTCCTATGAAATACTGTCTTTGTATAATGTGGAATCCTTGGATAATATGGGTGAAATGTCTGCTCCTGGAACTACAAATTAAGTAAGTCCTGGTCCCAGTTGCTAGACAGGGTACAAATACACCTGTTTTTTATTGAGGGCAGTGCCTTGTAATCATTTCTCAATATCTGATCTATAAGTTGTTATTGTCTGCACTATATCATAGTAGTGAATGTGGACACTTTTTCTCTAGCCACTTTGGAAAAAGTCAATGCTTAGTTAGAAGCCTTACATTGCTACAACGAGGAAAGCATGGTGAGATAAGAGTAGAAGTGCATCTGGATAAATCTATCACAATTCAGTGACAAGGAGGAGCATAACAGGATATTAACCTCTGTAAAGCAAGGCTGCTGGGGTGTTGGCTTTCCAGTTTAGATGACCAGTCTTTAAAGTGGAAAAGCAAATTTCAAGCTGGTAAAATCCAGCCCAAAACCATGCTCAGACCAAAGTACTCAATGCATCTGAGAAAGCAGACAAACACCACTTGAGAACTGACAGCTTCCAAGAGCACATTCTTCTCAGAGGACTTTGCTGATCAGTTCAAATGATGGTCTGCCTAATATAGTAGCTTCATTACTGTCTCCAAAACCAACAAGTTCAACTTATTTATTTGGCCTGCACTTCCCTTACGCTTAAGAAGATTTCTAGAGCATGGATAGGCAATATGTGTATGTCCAAAGCAAAGCAAATAGTACTATTATGCAAGTGCTAGAGCAGCTTCCTGGGCCACTCGACTCTGTGGCCTTTGGCAGCTAACTGCGGGCATAAAAAAAAAGAAAATTACAAACATAAGTCTGAAATTCTCCAAGAACATAATACTTTAAAAAAAAAACCTAGCCTCATAAGTTTATTTTGCATGACATTCAGATGCATAGGTACAAGAGATTATCTGAAGACTGCATTGTGAGCTGTATGAGTTCCAGTCATGATGAATCATCTCTGTGTGTTGTGGCATTTATAAACATACTGTTTCTGTCACTTTCAAACTAATACTAATATTAAATAATTGTTTCTGTGCTTTTAGCCCACAGCAAACATTAAGCAGTTTGTTTAACCCTCTTTTGTGAGAGCTGTGTAAATCTTTTTATCTTGTGTATGCCTTGAATGAAAATAAGTGTAGACAGTTAATACCATGTCTACACCATACTGCACAGTCAACATGCAGTAGCCAGTTAGAACTTTGATACCATGACACTGTGTTTTAGTTCTTCTAGATTAATAGTTTGGAATAAATTGTTGTAAAATCCACTGAAGAGCTCTCCAATGAAATAAAATGAAAAAAAAAAAAAAAAAAAAAAAAAAGACAAAGAGACCATTTCTATTTAGAAAATCATAGAAACAGGAAAAAAGGTATCCTATTTTTACAAAAAAAAAATATAATACTTTGTAGATAATCAACACCGGGAACTGGCACCTCTTGGA